TAGGGTGGGAAACGACGCCGGGCGAAGCGGTGGTAGGTCGAGAACATGACGGCGTGAAGGAAGAGATTCTGTGTGTGGCGCTGCATCAGATCCGCCGCGCGCCCCTCAAGACACCGCCGATCCGCCGCTTCGCCTCGCTCTGTCCGGCCGCCCTTCACCTTCGCCGGCTCTTCTGCGAAGCCTCTCACGTTGGTTTGCTCTCACAGGCGAGAGGGATGGCGACGCAGAGGCAGGACAAGCCGAGCCACGGCGCTATCCTTCGCATCTTTGGATGCCGGAATGCGGATGCGTGTCTTCACGGAGATTGAAGATCGAGCACCACCGGTTCGAGCTATTTTTTATTAGCAAAAAGTAGCGAGTGGGTCCCACATTGTGCTGCTATCCCAAACCAAGTTGCCAAACAAGGGAATAGGAGAGATGGATCTCATAACCCGGCCATAACCCAATCCACCATAACCCACCTATTTCCCTATCCCTTTCCCAAATTTTATCCAAACTTCACCTTAGAGTTTGGTGACCTGACGGTGGGGAGTTTTATCCAGTGTCTTTGTAACCATGGCCGTCGATTAGCATTGGACGGCTTAGATCTAGCGGTGCCTTAGTTGGCTGGCGGGTTCATGAAGCTCTTGTGGATGCGCTGCCCAAGTCAGGCCGCTGGGCCTTAAACATTTAACGTGTTTATTTTTCTATTTATCGAGGTTTTATTTAAGCACCTATTTGATTATTAGACACTCTTGTAAAGTAAACACTCTAATTTAATTATATTCATGTACCCAAAATACTTTTTCAATAAAATAGACTACATATATGTAACTTTGTAGTAGTTTCACAAATTTTATAACTAATTTACTATTTTCTATAATTTAAATTAATTTCTGCGAGCTCCTGGGAAATCACTACAACTTGAACTACACGTCCTATCTAACAATGTCCAAAAATTAGAAAATAATATATGTAAGATTGCATGTCCACTTGAGCTCACATCCTGAAAATCGATGGAAAATTAAGTGTTTTGCAAAACATTACTCAAACTACTATTTTGGTGACTCCGACGAAAAAATCAATAATATCATAAAGTGGTCTAAAAATTCTAAGAATTGGTATGGGGTCATAATGTGGGTGTATAAGCTTCCCATAAAAATTTTAAATCATTTTGACAAAGTGAGACTATGCGTTGTTCACAAATGGATAAAATCTCTCATATAGTTACAACTATCTGAGAGATTTATTCATTTGTGAATAATGTGTAGTCCAACTTTGTTAATATAATTTAAAAATTTGATGGCAAGATAATACAACTATATCAAGATCTCATGCCAAATTTTAGGATTTTCAGACACCTTTAAGATATTATTGTTTTTTTCAGACAAAGTCACCAAAATACTTATAAGCATTTTATTGGGTGCTAACAAGAAAATTCAATAACCCCTAAAGAAATGATAATTTACTTTACGGTTTAGAATAACACCCAAGAAAATAGGGATTTTTCTTGGCAGTTAAGAATAACACCCAAAAAAATAGTAGTTTTCTTAACTGTTTATAATTACACTCAAGGAAATATATCATTTCCTTGGAGGTGATTGAAAACCACCAAGGAAACACCCATATTCCTTGGCGGTTTACTTCAACCTTCAAGGAATACATATTTCCTTGGAGGTCTATATAAACCGCCGTTTCCTTGGCGGTTTGATCTTGGCACTCAAGGAAATTCGCAGCCCCCAAGGTAATTCCAGATTTTGGTAGTGATGGATGTCTTTGGCATTGAGAGATGGAATTGAAGGCCATTTCCATGGTATTCAACTACAACTAAATCCATCCACCTTCAATACCGAGCTCAACCGCTTCGTATTGGAGAGAGAATCCAGAGAACGAACCAATCTCAATTAGGACCAACTCCAAGACTGCCCTCAGCATTGGAGGGTTGTGCCCACCATCGCTGCCAATGGTTCATCGCCGCTGCTAGTTCACCACCGTCAAACCTGCCACTGCTCGAAGACCGCCTCTGCCATCACTGTTGCCCGTGATTGGTCGACCAACCCACTTGAGCACAACCTTCTTTCTTCACTCTGGCCACTGTCGTCGTATCCCTCTACTCTAGTCACCACCTAGGTGGAGGAGACCTCACCGATGAAGAGGGAGGCTGGAGTGGACCTCGCCGATGGAGAAGGACGAAGGATATGTGTGGAGATGCGAAGGGGACCTCATCGGCAGTGAGCTCAAGCAGAGGCGGCACAAAGAGGGAGGGTGGATGGGATCTTTCCGGCAGAGCGACGCGAAGAGAGGGAGAGCGGCGAGAATCTTGTCAGCGGAGAGGGAGGATGGAGCAACCTCGCTGACAGAGAAGGGCATATGCAATGTCGAGAGGTAGTGAGGGACGACGGAGGTGACCTCGCTGACAGAGAAGGAGGACAAAGTTGATTCACCAATGGAGAGCCCGGGCAGAGGAGATCTCGCCGGTGGAAAGCTCGGGCGCAAAGGGAGAAGGGAGAAAGAGAGTTGGTCATTTCAATGTATGGACTACTGTCAGTGTTTCGAATAAATACCAACTAATAAATTTATAATTGTTGCGCATTAGGCTCGGATGGTGTACTAAAGGACACAAGGTTTATACTGGTTCGGGTAGAATATTCCTACGTCCAGTTTGCTGCTGCTCGTGTTATTAGTACCGAAAAAGGTTCGTAGTAGGGGGTACAAACGGTCGAGAGAGGGACAGGTCCCAAGTCTCTGATGGAAAGGTCGAAAGGACGCCAAGAGCTCGGTTGCTGCTTGGTTGTGTGTTGTGTGTGGAATTGATTCGTCGTCTTGCGTCTCAAAATGATTTGTCCCCTTAGTGGGGCGCCCTGCCCTTCCTTTTATAGACCAAGGGGGGAGCAGGGGTTGCAGATGGGAGAAAGAGAAAAAAACCAAAGGTAGAGAAGGTCATTCGAGGGAGTCGGGTCTTTCTTTTCCCCTGTGCCTGCCCTGCTAACATGGCAGACCATGTCAGGGATGGCGTGTTCGCTGATCCTTATAGGGCCGTGCCCTGGCCTCTGTCAGCAAGTGGGTGCGTCCCATCCTACACCGGCGGACAGTGCGGCGTGCCGGAGAGCCGAGCTGTGACCCTACGGGGAGTAGATGGGGAAGTGACCATACGTCCATCACTGTAGATGATGTGAGTTCTATCTTGGATCGTAGTGGTTGTCGCATGTTTGTGTTAGTATCCGCTTCCGAGGGCTGATGGCGGCGACTACAACACTGTGGGACAAAAGTCGGCGCCTACAACACTGTTAGGGCTCTGTCAGGTCGGAAAGGGCCTAAAGCGCCCGTCCCATCATATCCTGATAGTACCTTCCTGCAGGCATACAGGGCATGGCCCTCAGTACTGCGGTTGACTCGAATGCCCTATCGTACCCTGTGCTCGTCATCATGAAGGAGCAGGGTGCAATCGTCGGGCGAGGCGGAGCCAGCCGTCGGATGTCGGGCGAGGCGGAGCCCGCCCTCAAACGTCAGGCGAGGCGGAGCCCGCCCTCGGCCATCGGGCGGGGCGGAGCCAGCCCTCGGCCGTCGGACGGGGCAGAGCCCGCCCTCAGCCGTCGGGCGAGGCGGAGCCAGCCCTCAGCCGTTGGGCGAGGCGGAGCCCGCTCTCGGACGTCGGGCGGGGCGAAGCTAGCCCTCAGCCGTCGGGCGAGGCGGAGCCAACCCTCAGCCGTCGGGCGAGGCGGAACCAAGCTTCCGTTGTTCAGGCAAGAAGCGTAGTAGCGTTCTTGTCTGACCGAAAGCGTCAACGTTCGATGGTTATTAGTTCCACCTCATTGGGTATCCAAGTATTAGGTCCCCGACAACTACCAAACAAGAATTGACATTATAATATGCTTTATTCTAGCTACCAGTTCTATCTACCACCTATTGAACCTATTTCCATTTAAGGCTAAATTGGTATTGGTACCCAATTTATTTTCTGACCCAATATCTATATCCAAATAGAGTCTTATAGCTTTGCAAGAAAAATATTTACTCGCTAAAAGTTAGGATGATTATTTTCATTTAATAGTCTTACGTTTTCCAACGGTTAACTGTTACTTTTTGTACTAACTGTGCGAGTAGAGTTTTACTATTTTGATTAAAGCAACTAGGAAATGGGGCGCGCTTCGCTGCGCCCGTTTTCCTTTTGATATTAGATCACGTTTTATTCATTGTGTAGACCGTGTGACGTGGTAACACTGGCTGGGTTTTTTTTTTTTTGGTTTTGGTTTTTTTGATTCTATGCTGAGGCTTTCGGCGATGCAGGCCTCGTATGTGCTAGTTGCCTGGCCCTTTCGGGTAAGAGTTGGCCTATTTTTGAGCATTGGAACCGGGCCATGGCCCTTGCATTGCGAGAGCTGATCTATTGTGGCTAATGGGCCTCTGAGTATGTTGATTTTTATGGACGACAGGGAAGCGCTGGGCTCATTTATTGGCCCCATTCTTTCTGGTTTCGTGTCGCCGTTGGTTCGTATACAAAGTGGTGAGTCTGGCCGCGGATAGGTGCGGTGCATTGTAGCCTTCGAGGCATCGTTTCTTGGGGTGCGTGATGGAAGGCGATAGTTTCAGAGGCGGAGAGAACAGGATCAGCGATGTGGCCGAGGCGCATGTATCTTATTTTAATATGATACGGGCATAGTGGAGCATGGAGGGAGCACATTGTACCCGCAGGCAACATATATATAGATGCAGGCATCGATATTATACAGATAGATGGGTAGGTTGAGACATCCAGTGGCATTGATATCATACAAATACACGCCTAGCTCGTATGATAGTAGTGGTTAGTTTTTGCCTAGCAGCAGCATACATGGTAGACATATAGATAAGGCGTGTCATGTTGCTTTCCAAAATTAGAGCTCCATGCTGGGTCTTTTGGTGCCTGCGGCGAAAACAGAGCATAGATTATGCCTGTGGTAATGATGTCATCTAAAAATACAATTCCATAAGACATGTCATGGAACCGAAGATGTAGGTACCTTTAATATATATGGCTTGGTCTATAGCTCAAGGCGCCTATGGACGTTACGATCCTTGTTGGCACCAGTACCACTGCAGTGACATTTGTTGCTTAAAACAGATAAATGGCTAACGATCTATAGAACTGAGGTATAGGCAAGAAATAGTTTGTGCAAACCTGGATCCATCATGAGTTTCATGAGCGGCGACGTCTCCAATAGCTCTTTTCTTTTTTTCGTCTGGATGGATGTCTGTGATCTAAAGATTACATGTGTAAATGGACAGTCAATACGATGGATGAGTGAGGAAACACAGGTGTGGACTATGCTGTTGTTAGATAGGATTGTCGCTGCTGCATACCTCTGGAGTTAGGTGAACATGCTGAGGAGGTGGGGTTGCGTGGGCATCAGAAAGTGAGGGCTGATCCAACTGCGAAAACGGTAAGAGAGCATTGTTTAAAAACACAAGTAGCAACAGTTTGCAAGTAAACATATAGCATGGCTGTATGGGTGTGTGAAGAGTCTGATTGGAGGCATTATTTATAAATTGGTGGCAGTTCACAGGGCCTATGTTTGCAGTATGTATGCAAGGTGGTAGTGCGCACCTGTGTGTCAATCGTAGCCTGTGTGTCAGAGGCAGAGACAATAGGAAGCTCCTCTGTGGCAGATGGTGTTACATGTACATGAACAAATAAAAAAAAGGTCAATGTGGGTGTGATACGGAAATGGGCAGAAATATGCAGAATGGGAAAATTAAAGAACCTGGCAGTTGTGGATTCTGGTGTAAGAAAGATGTGTCTCCGGTGGCTAAAACAGTATCGACTTGATAAATAATGCCAATTCTTTGTAGTGACATGGGCGAGGCACTGACACGAAGCTCAAATTGTCTTCCATAGAGAGCTGGGATTCGAGTCGGCAGAAATGCACTGGAAGGACCATCCATGGCGATGAGAGCATCGACTGGCATTCCAATTATCTCCTCTGCTATGGGCCCAAAGAAGACCAGTTCTATAGTTGGCGTAGCGTCGGTGTTTGCTGAGGCTGCTGGGTCTACTGCAACTATAGACAGTCGGTACCTATATGTGTTGACACATGGTTAGAAACACTGGATTTTTATGGCCTAAGCATGGCACCCTGAGTAATAAAACATAACCATATGCTAAAGAAAGTGATGCTGACCTAGGTCCGCCGCTTGTTCCAGAACAACTTCGGCCGGTGCAATGGGTAGCGCCACTTTCTTGTTTTAATGTTTTGTTGCATACTTGACAGGCCAGGTACCACCATGACGTGTCGGTGAGGACATTCTTTATTTTAACTTTGACAATATATCTATTGCCCTGTTTAAGAAGAATAGTTTAGCAGGAATTTCAGTAAAGGCAAAAACCATAGGAAACACTGTACTCACATAGATGACATGGGGATTATCAAATGTAGAAAGGTCTGCAACAGTTATATTTTCTGTTGCTGCCTGGCTCGTGCCTGGTCCATCCCATATGGGCGTTGGAGTTCGACCAATGCAGCTACAATGATAAAAAAAAGGATATGACTAAATCGTGGTAAATGCGCTAGTCATGCATATGCAACTATGAATAGAATAGAGTACGAAAGATGTGATGAGTGTATTTACCTGTCTCGTAAAGCTGCAACCTCTGGTATGTGAGGATTGACGTACCATTTGCACACCGAAGATCCTTGTAGGGACACATTTCCTGTTAGCAGGGAAAGTTCATATATTTTTTGAGCAAAAGTATGTGAAGTCACAGAAAAACATGTGTTTTGTTTATTGAGAAAGCAATAACAATGTACCGTTGAACATAGAAGCTGTAACACCAGCAAAGAGGAATATAACTGGTTCACGTGTAGCCATTTCCATATACCGCTCAGCATCAAAGTTCTCGGCCTGTTCACCCCAAAGAGCAACTACCATGGTATCCCTTTAAAGCAACATCATGGGTTTAGATAAGAGCAATGTAGGAAGTACAGAAGGCAAAAGGTAAATGGAAAACAACACAGTAGGTAGCGACTGTAATAAGGACGTACTTTCCATCTGTTATGCGTACATTTCGGATTGCCTTTGGTCCTCCTCTTGTATTTTGCATTCTAACATGTGTGCATCCCTGCAGCACGCCGATAGTATCTGCATACATGGTCGGTTAATGAATGCGGGCAGACAGGTTAAATTAGAATAATATGAGTGAACAGATGTGTAGGCTAGCAAGACCAATCTGTGATACCTGAACAATATTCAGTAATTTGCTTTCTGGCCCTGAGGACCTCGAACGGTGCTACTCTGTATGCATACTCAGGAAATGTGGGTGGTATCGTTGTGATTTCACGGACCCTTGTGTGCACAGTGAAGCGTGCTAGAAACGGATGATCAACAGGTCGATATGTTGTACGTGCACTGACCACCTGGAAGAACTGAATATAGTACAAAGAGGCCTCTTTTAGCTGGGGCATGAACATGTGTATCCAATTCTGAGGAATCTGAGCTTCCATGGTCGTTCCCTGTAAGCATGGAAGGGATGTAAGAAAGGCAGTAGTGGTATGTGTGACTACAGAACCAAAGAAATGTAGAAATAGATTACCTGCTCATCAATGAGAATAAAATCAACTCTGACAATTTTAGGTGGCTGTTCTTTGTTCTTGCATTCAGAAAACCTGACGGCTCTAACTCGTACAGTCCATTGATGTGAGTGAGGCGTGATTTCCTTTAGAGGTGTATGATCCATTCTGCATTCATGAGGAAATAAAATGAGACACTAAGACATCAGATATTTATGAGGCCGTGAGTGCCGAAATCTGAGCACAAATGAAGGCAAACAACACTATGTAGCATAGCAGAGCATGTTAAAGGTCAATAACAACACCAAAAAGCAAACAATATCACATATGGCTCCATTGCTGGTCAAAGCATACAGGCAACATATTGTTGTAGCACCAAAATGTAGATTCATTGCTAGCGTGCAAGATAGAAGAATTTTTTTGTGTACAACTTGCGGAGCATGGACAAAACGCTAAACATATTGCATGATCTCCTCATAGACAATGTTTTTCGTGATATTGGTTGGTTCACCGTCATCATCCTCAATGAGCATTTTTAGTCCCCGTCTTGAGTTCACTCTTGAAACAGCAACATATAACTGGCCATGGCTGAACACTGGTTCTCTGAGGTACACCCCAATCTGATGCGGTGTCTGTCCCTGGCAACCACGACATGAAGATGAAACACAGGGTAAAGTAGCTAAAAAGGGGCTGGCACATACAGGCACAATCAGCGGGCAAGTAACTGAACCGGCTGACAGGAAAGGATTGATACATACATTGTATACATAAACCTTAAAACAGGTACTGTGGAAAGGATAAAGGCTGAACATGACAGAGCATGGAACATAGGAACGAAGACAATAGCGCGGAGCACAGGCAAGAAAAATTAGGAAAGCATAGGCGCAGTGACATGAACAAAACTGAGAAAAAACATGCAGGAGGCTGCATACCTGACGGTTGGGTGAGCCCCGGCCGCGACGGTTGGGTGAGCCCGGCGGGCCGAAGCAGAGCACGTATAGCCCAAATCTGCATACAAACGACCCAAGACTGAGCAGACGGACAGCCGCGTCATACGAAATATAAGAATCAAGAAGAGATCGAGAAGGAAGGCGGTGCAGGCGAACGAAGAAGAGGATGGAAGACGGGCCGACATCCATGGACGCGGTGGAGGCACAGACCTACGCAGCACACGGCCGACGGCAACGGCGCGGAGACGGCACGGGGAGGCGGACCCGTGGAAGCGGAAGGAAAACGAGCGAGGCAAGGAGGCGGAGGAATTAAAGGCCCAAGTCGACGGATGCGGCGAGGCTGGTGCGAGCGCGAGTGCCGAGGCGGCCGCGCGGCGCGTGGAGACGCGAGCTTCGCAGGGCGGTGGACGACGGCGCCGAGGCTAAATAGGCAGGAATCACTACGAGTGGGGCACTGAAGAGCTGGGGGCCATTAATCATGAGATAGGGAAATTAGGCATGCACACGCACGAGACCCAGGCGCCACACGGACACTGGGCCGGGCGTGCCTGTCTGGGTGAGCAGGAGGGAGGGGCCCGTAGGCAGCGGCGAGGAGAGGATCTGGGCCGGTGGAGGTAAACACGCGGAGGATACTGAAGAAAACAGTAACCAGATCGCTCGGAACAGAGCACGTGGCAGTCAACAGTAACCAGGGGTGCTGAGAATGCGCCGATTCTAGGAGCTTTATGGAGTTTAATAATAATATATGTAGTGGTAGAATTGTACTGTTAGAACGTAGTATACTACTCTCGTGAATAAACTGGAGAGTATGGTGAATGGATCATTTTAGTTTCATCGCGGGCATACCCGCATATGCATGCGTGGAGGTGAGTACGCCTTTGTCCTCTCACTGCCCCACCGGCTAGTGACTGTCACTGCCTTGCTTGACAAGTTCAGGCCCCGCGTGTTAGTAGCGATGTGTCAGCGGTGTGTGACGCAGTCTTCTGCTTACCTATATGCGATCAGTAATGCTCTGAACCGACCGTCCGTCCACCTAGATGTTCCGTTGCTGGGCCACGACGCCAGCCCAACAACCTATGCTCGTTCGTTTCTTAAAAAAAAAACTACTCATCCACTCACTCCAATCCACTCATTTCTTTTCCTATCGCTCTTGTCCGCTCATCTGCCAACTCCAAGCGCACGGCTGCTGGCCTTGCCTAGCACAGCGCACGGCCGCCTTCGAGTCACGGTGCTCAACTATCGGCCCTGCCAGGCATGACGCGCTGCTACCCTCTTCAAGTCGCGCGGCCGCGGACTCCTCGCCGCTTGTGCGGTGTCGGTGTTTCGAACAAACACCGACTAGTAAATTTATAATTATTGCGCGTTAGGCCCGGATGGTGCATGAAACATCCTCAATTTTCCGCGAAGGGAAAATCCACAGAATGAATTATAATATGATGAAATCAATAGTTGATTCCATCATATTATCATATATCAGTTGATATCCCAGTCATACATCGTAAGATTACAAGAATACAAGATATTACATCACTGGAGAATACACCTATTACAGAGTTAATCTAGCGGAAGACTATCGAGTGAAGGCTTCTCCTTCACGGGTCATCATCAGAGTTGACGTAGTGCAGCGTAGATTCCATCTCCGAACCAAACTTGAGCGTAGGCACGAGACCTCCTAATCCTTCTATAGTCAGCATCTCTGAGAAGCAGGAAATCTACACACCGCCAGATGTGTGCAGGCCATGTTTAGCACCGATGAGCTTTAGTGGAAAAGATAAAACAAGAGGATCTGGCGATCCTAATATTTGGCTGTGGTTTGCATCCTTAGCGCATGAGAAGTAAGTAGCAGTAGTAATATAATAATAATGTCCAGTTTTTAACACATTCCCAGCCGCACACATCCACATCCATCCACCAACCAACCATCCCAAACCATCTCCTCACCATCACACCTTATCTCATCTCACACACTCAGGTCGACAGGCCGACTCCCTCTCGGCCTTGTCTCAACGACCCGCAGCCCCAAGGCTCACGACCGGAAAATACCCCAAACCCTAGAGGGAGAATAGAAGGACTCATCTCCTATCTAGTTTAAGAGAAACCCAGGAAAGGTCCATAGCCGACAAGTCGACATATGTATCGATCGATCAACCATACACTCTGCAGAGGTTTTACATACCCACAAGATAGCCATCCTCGACGATGCCCCGTCTAGGCAGATTTCGGCCGCTTGCCAGCCTAGAACGATGCCACCCTACCTCTCAGCCCTGGAACATCCCAAGTCTAATCTGGGATGGCTGATACTGTGAGTCGTAGACAGAGCCGGGGCCCACCGGATGTCAAGAGCCGGTCCACAAGGCCTCCTGAAGTCTCGGAAGGGTGTGGGGGGAAACCGTGCACCCCGTACCAACTTGCACACGTTCGCCTAGCAGTAGTGGCATCGCTCTACCAAGTAGTCCGACCGTCCCGCACCATATAGGGCGAGTGGGATGTAAAGGATTCCCGGTGAATCTGAGTACTAGTAAGTCCTTAGGGGTGACCAAGCCAGAATGTCTTCATCAGGGTTTCCATTTTTCGTGCCACCACAGCACCTCCACCCTGGGCTCCACCTCTCCGAGGTTCACACCCAAGGCCACCTCCAATTACCATTTACCCGCCACAGGTATTCCATATCCAAGTGCCCAGGTAGCACCACATGGCAAGACTCGCCCTAGGCTCATCGTTATTCCAGCTCGGTCGACACAACCCTCACTCTCCACGCACCCAAGACACACGCAGCACGCTCACACACCACCAAGTCCGGCACCCATAGCCAAACCATTCCTAGGGGGTGCACCACCAGCATCACATCCCCGATATAATGCGATGTGGAGTTAATAATAAGTATAGTGGTGTAATATGCAAGCAAGCAGGCAAGTAAGCATATATAAGCGAGCGAATGCGCAAAGCTGGGTGACGTGGTAGAGTGGGTTGCATTAGGGTAATAATGGCTCAGGTAGTGGCATGCATCAAAGTTCTAGCAAAGGAATAATTATAAAGCGCTAGCAGTTCTAGATATTATGCAATGTCTAATAGGATTCTCTAAAAGAGGGTGCTTCCATGACACTTGCGATGTAGAGGTAGTAGTGGTATAATTCTCCATTCGTTGGCGTTCCATTAGCGGGATCTCCTCCTCCTGTGTTGACTCCATTCCGCAGTCCTTGTCGTCGCCCACGTTCTCTTGGTCCGTTCGTCAGCTACTCCGCGAAGCGACACGCAAGGCAAGAGAGCACTCAACGCTCGAAAAGACGACAAGACGCAGGAAAATCCAATAACACCAGTGAGGCAATAAGAGATACACGGCTTAGCCCTCTCGGCGGTTGTCCGATTTCCTCGGGGCAAGGAATCACAAGTGGTGGTTTGCTGAGCACAAGCTTAAGTCATGGCCAAGCTAGTATGGCTTTACGATAAATGGTTTAAGCCAGAGCTTATCCAGAGCAATCACCATGGCTCACGATCTTTCGATCCGATGTCATTGGGTTGACGGGGATTGGAAATCGGGCCCCAAGAAAGAAGATCGACGGGGTTCGGCTCTTATAGCCTTATCCCGCAAGCCACAATTGGACACGAGTAGCAAACAAGAACGAATAACACTATTGTAACTAGGCTCCAATGTACTTTGGCTCACCCGCTATGGTAGGAAGCGGTAGCGCAAAGAGGTTGGACAGCGACGGGTCCTCTCGATCCACCCAACACATCCACATCGGGAGCCGAGGAGGTAGTCGTTCAACACGGCAAAAGCAACGAGGTTAGCTAGGCATGTCCATGTTATGTTCCCAGACACATCTTCGGAAAAAGATGGTTTTAGACGGTCGATCAGGTTGACACGCATGGGTCCGAGGTACGACATAGACCATAGCTTCGCTAACAACAGGGAATAGTCCGGTCTTTGTTCCAATCGTCACGGGCAAGACGGGATCGAACAGAGCGGCTATCGGGGCAATAAGAGCAAGAACAACCAAGAGCAAGGTCTACTTCTAACGCACACGCCACGACAAAGACGGGTCATCGGAAGGAGCGACACTCAAGAACACCAAGTGCGTAAGCCACTCATAGGGTACCCGACCTGGGTGTACTGGCACTGAGATATCTCTCGGATTCGAAGCGGTGCGGTTGTCACCGTGAGAATCAGAGAAACGTGATGGTCAAACGGGGTACAAGCATACAAGGGCTTGAGCACGAAGAAGCAACTAAAAGCGAAAGAGAGGCATAGCTCCATGGTCATGGCGAGGTGAACTCGCGGCCACAAGCTTATGCCAACGAGTTGGCATCCATCATTCCACGATTGTTTACTCCCAGGTTATCTCCCACAGAACTTGGTCATGGAAGGCTCAAGGCGTGTGGGTGATATCCGCATCGATGTTAGTATCGACATCGAATCCATCACGACCATGTTCTAGGGCCGAAGGCAGGAGCTAACACTCGTGGTACTATGAAGTCAACTAAAAAGCGAGGGGTCGAGTTACACTCGGCATCACGGTCATGGCGAGACGGATCCCACGATCGTAATGTCCGAACGAGGTACGATCCCTCAGCCGGCTCGAAGGCTCGGCACACAGGCAACAACACCAACAACCAGCGATAAGAACCAAACACGACCGAAAGATGCATCAACTCGACACGACTGCAGAGTAGCACATTCCATAGCTGGGTGATAGGTGAATTCCTGTAAGACAGACATATAGACGGGTTGTAAGGACGGAGCATATCGGAGATAACATATGCATACGGAAAGATAGAAGACGGGGGCTTTCCATGGTCTCGATAAGTCATACGACTAGGGTTCATGGTCCAGAGGTTACGGCTCGCAGTAGACGGTGACATGATATCTCCTCAATGGCACGCACTTGCAAGGCAAGGTGACCGGAACGTCGGAAGGACTCCACTTGTCATCGGTACGGTGCTAGGGATCACACGGTTTCTCAACGGCTCGCCCTCGTTTAACGAGGCAGCCGGAATGTCGGGAACGGACTCAGACTCAATACAACGATAGCACGGTGCTTGGTCACGTGGTGTATACCAGGGCTTTGTCCGTGAGTTGTGCAATGTGACTTCCTCAACAGGTCTTTAGTGCGGGTCCCGGTAGATCTCGACGGTATGTTCTCGTGACTCGAGGTAGCCGGAACAGTGGTGAAACACGGACACAGGG